TACAAAGCAACTCTCAGTTCCTTCTTGCAGATCTGAGTGTCATCCTCCTTGCAATAATGTTGTTTTAATGCACTCCCAAGTGAGGACATGAGCTGGAATCAGCATGTCTGACCCAATAGGATCTTGTGACGGTAACAGACGCTGAATGTCGCTGGTGTTTCCACTGCAGAAGCGATTTCACATTCAGTTAAGCTCAGCTTTTCCCTTTATATTGAATTAAGGGAGGTCATGCTGCTCTTGTGGCGCACACACACTGTAATTCAGATGAAGTGCTGGATACGCAGGGCATGGCACGAATGGTTAGATTCCCCCGTGATGAGAGTGGTGGAAACGTCTCACCTTCGAATGGAAGTCGTTAGGTTGTAGTTTCAAAATAAGAGTTTAACCTGTGAAACAGGAAGAGCAAATGGCATTGCCTTGTTATGTTTCGAAAATTGGAATAAATGAGTTTGTAATTTTTAGACACGGGTTAAATGATGAAAAAAAAGCTGAGGGAAAAAAGGATTTTCAGGCAACATTCTTACAAAATCATGAATCCTACTGGACATCAGTTGTTTTTACCTTTCTTTGTAAACCATCCAGTTTTTCCACTTATTTGACGCACTGCTGCTGCACAGGAATTGTTTGAAAGAAAATTGTACTCTGAATTGTTTCAACCTGAGGCTGACTAAATGAAAAACCTCGAAGAGAACAAACAGAAAAGTCACGATTCCGTTGAACTCATTGTGCTGTTAAAGCACCCACAGGGATTAATGAAGTCAAGATCAGTGTGAAGCAAAACAACCGTACCTCTCTGACCGTTTGCTGAATATTAACAAAGTACCCAGTGGCTAATAAGCAAGATTCTCCTCTGAGCTTAAGTACACATTTCTACTATCTGCCTTTAGTTTGCACAACTTTCCCTTTCCTACTGTGACTATTTTTTTCTGTTTTAGATTTTCTCTCCATTTTCACTGAGTCATGTCTTTTTCTCTTTTTCTCTCATTTCCTCTCTGCTCATCCATTTCTCGTGTTTTCGCCTGACTGTCAGCATGTTGTGATTCCTCTCATTGCTGTCTCTAGCATCTGTCTTTCTTTCTTCCTCCTCCACTTCTTCATCTTCTTCATCCTGATTTCTCAGCCTTTTTTTCTCCATTACTCAATTGTTCTCTTCTTCTTTGTCATTTTTCTACTCCTCTCTTCTGCCACAGTTGCTCTGTCTTCCCTGCTCTTCGCCTCACCCGTCATCCGTCCAATCATCATTCTCAACCCTGTCATGATATAATAATTCCTCTCACTCTCATCTCGCCTTTTGTCTCTTTTTTTCCTTTCTCACCCCTCTCCTCCTCCTCCTCAATCCATCTATCAATCCATCATTTTTCACTCTGTTATTACTCTACAATTTTCCCTCACGCTCTCGGCTACTCTTCTCCTTCATCCTCCTTTCTCACTTGATTCCACTTCCTCCTCAATCCACCAATATGCCCATCATCACCCCCCACCCTGTCATCGCAACAAGATTTTTTACAGGCGCTCTCTCCTCTACCCTCATCAACCTTTCCTGCCCAATCCCCACCTGTCTTTTCCCATTCTTCCTCTTCCTGCTCATCCTCATCATCATCATCCATCCATTTTTATTAATTCTTCCATCAGGATTTCTTTCACTCTGCTTTCTGCCTTTAGCTTTACCCACCCCCCTCCCTTCCCTTTCCTCCTCATCTGTCTATCATTGTGTCATGTTTTGACATTTTTCCTATTCTCATCTCGTAACTGTCTTCACCCATCAGACCGTTTTCATCTTGTTGTCACTTTGCCATGTCATTTTTCTCATCTTCTCTCCCTGCTGCTCCTCTTCCCCCATCTCTTTCTCCTCCTCCTCCTCTTTTTGCCTTTATCCACCTTTGCCATTTTACTTCCTCACATTTACTTTGTGGTTTATGTGCACAGTGACATTTTCTTTTATGTAATCGCAAATCAATTTTTCTTTGGTCCAAAAGAAAAAGGGACTTGCAATATTCGGTTTGAATCACACAATTATGTGCCAACAGGAACTGTAAATAAAAGTCACATGGTCTCACAGCATGTAGCTTGTTAATTGGGCCGAGTTGTGGAAACCTGTCATCCCACCTTGTTAGACATTTTGATGAATTTGGATAGGGTCCAAATAAATCTGATTCAAGTTCCTGTAAATGTAGTTAAGGATGATGGAGTTTTCTGCAGTCCCTTTGCCTTGTGCTCAGACCAGTTAAAAGCACATGAAGTGGATGAGTATGAACTTAAAGCTGTAAAACACATGAATGCAGCACTTTACACATTTCTGGAGCCTGGCGGTAGTTACTAAAGTGAGAAAATCCAGACTTGTGGGACTGCGTGGAGCTGAAATGGGGTGAACAAGCAGCACCTGCATTGCCTGAGTATTATAGGTTAAGGTACCTGTAAATGTAATGTTTGGCCGGCACGACACTGGCACTATTTAGACCTTTCGTGGACTCGTCCTTTTGGCTATTATGGTAATTTCAAACAAAACGCCTTGTGATCAAAGTAATCCTACGCAACAGAGACTATTACCAATATCCAGAGTGGTGGGGGTGAAAGGGTTAATGCTTCTTTAATTCAGTAAATCATTATATTTCAGAATATGTGAATTGACTAATAAGTGAATTTACTTTTCTGCCTCTTATCTCAGTCTGAGTTGTGGTACGGGCAGGTTGAGCTCAGTAGCTCTTCCTGGGAGATGCCAAGGCGATTCTAGATGGAGATGGAATATAAAATCCCTCCAGTTTGATCTGGGTCTGCCCAAGGGTCTCCTCCGAGTTAGATATGGCCAGAATACCCTCACAAACAAGATGCTAGGAGTCGTCCTGGTCACTTCAATACAATATAGAGTTTGGGGCACTCCCCTCCTCAGCTAGTGTGAGAGTGTGAATGGTCTTGTTCTCACCTGAAGAAACAAGTATTCATTTTAACAAACTCATATGTGGACATTATTTTGCCCTTTATGTCACCCCAGTCTGCCTCTTGCCATCTCTTCATCTATCCTTGTTTTTCATATGCAGTATGTCATCTTTTTATGATCCTTCTTTTTTCTATTAAACCCACATGCCAACTAACACGATACGTAGCATAAAAAGAACAGATACAGCTGAGTGTTGAAGGTATTCATTCATCACATCACACATCCTTAGATCCCACATCTGCTCCAGTGAGCTCTAGTTTAGATAATTGCCACGTGTTTGGAGAGGCAAGGCTGTTTGGGCAAAATTTAATGAATAATGGGCAGCCACAGTGATGTGTCAGCAGAAATACTTTGGTTGTGATGGATAGATTTCTGTTTGTTGGGCTGAAAATCTAGTGGGCAAAGCAGAGGCACTGTAAGAAGAAGTTGTGTCTTTGTGTTTTGTAACCCTTTGATAAGTCAGGATAGTGTTGGCTAATTACAATATCTTTTTAATTTCTATCTAAATCAAACTTGAGAATAACTCAGATTGGCAAAACAGAAAGAAGTTCAACAGGTTTTAACTTTATCAGATTGCACTGAAATCTGATGGATACATCAACAGCCATGTCTGTGCAAACACAAAGCTGCACACACCATGCTGCAAGTTAACACCCTTGGGGTGCTGTAAGGAATATTGACCAAATAATTTTCTGTATGCTCTTTGTGTCAGTTCAGATTCAGCTGCTTGAAGAAACACGCCGTGTGTTTGATAGGGGTTATCCGTCACTGCAAAGGAAGAAGCCACACATGAATGCCAACCACCAAAACTATACATTATCTCTCCTTTAATAACAGTTTGCTGCCACCGTGAAAGATCCTTTATATCTCCTTTAAATCATCCCCTGAGTGAACCAATATTGTGTGCTAAAGCTACACTGGGCAACAATTTATGTTAATTACAAGTTGTATTATTATCCCATTTCTCCTTAGGATCTGGTTTATACACTTAGATTGGAAATTTTACTCTCCTGCCTCTCGTCCCTTCGGTATCATTTGGTATGAAGCATGGCAGAATGGCCAGGTTGCTAAACAAGACTATACTGTGTGCAGTTTACTAACATTATGGGCCCAATTTTCTGTGTTTTGAAGTTCAAACTGTTTTTTGTATACGCTCTTTCTGCCTCTCACTGCTATTTAGAGCTGCCAATGTGTGAAGCCATGCCTGGTGCTGCTTTAAAGCCTATATGTTTATGCTTTTAGCTTTGCGGGCAGATGCCAAGTCCAATCCACTGAAGAACACTTGGCAGTTAAAATGTGAAAGTTAACACAAGACAGACGGACGTGCGATGTTCTCATAGTTCTCATAGTTTACATGGTGCAACAGTGCAATCATCTTAAAAACATTTCATCTGCTCGCTCGTTATCCGGGCTTTCAGAATCGCTCGCTATCAACCAATCTGTCTGGAGATGCAGTTCAGGTGCAATGGGTCTGTATGTAAGTGTGTGTGTCTGTGTTTGTTTATTAACAAAAGATACATTACAGATTCTTTTGTTTGACCCGTATCCCCAGTGTGATAAGAGATATGAAGCTGTAAGACAAACAACTGACAATTGCGTGTGTGATAGATACTGCAGGTGTGGGAAAGTTTCTGTCTTTGTCCAGTATGTCAGTTTATCTGATTGTCTGTCTCTTGAAAAAAGCTGGCCTCAAAAACTCTTAAACAGATGGATGTTAAGTGTATTTCTTATTATTTTCGTTTTTGTTCCTTATTGTTCCAAATTTCCCCATGAGAACATTAAAACTCTAATCTACTTCCCCCCAATGGAGGGTGAGGGGAGAGGTACTTTAACCTACCATAAACCTTTAAAAGATAATGAAATATGCCGTGACTGTGTGAAAGTTTTTCTAGCTTAGTGTATGCGCACTGCTACCAGCATGTCATATTTATTTCAACCTAGCCATTTTGCCTGTTTGCCAATTTCAGGTTCATTCCTTGTATATTCCCTCCAGATATTTTTTGCACATTTTCAAAACTGATTTGAATCCGTCATGTCCCATCACCTTCTTTTCCCCCCTTGTCAGAGCTGATTCAGAACGGCCGCCTGCTGACGCTGCCCCTAGTGGCCGGAGACCTGCACTCCCTGCTGCCTGACGAGGACGGGAGGCGTCTGTACGTGGCCATGAAAGATAACCTGCTGTCTACCAGTCTGGATGACATAACGCAGAACCCACGCAAGGTTAGAACACAAACATTCACATACCATCCGAGGCAAGGTATGATACAAAGATGCAGCAGACATACACATGGTTGCATGAATGGAGATACACATGAAATACACACATAAACTACAGTCACATTACAGCAGATTCAGATAACTTGTGTGTCAGGGGCCAGGGTTCTGATGGGACTACTTAGTGATGATATGAGGAAGAGGAATGTCACACCCCTCTGACTAATATCCCCTTGGACTACCTATCTCTCTCTAATTCCTTACTGTATTACAATAATAGACATATCTTAGTTTCTAATGTTCTTTGCTTTGAACCTTGATAAACTCTTTTTATCGCCACTTTTCTTGTAGAAACAGAGTGTTTTAGTGATTCAATTACAGCATCTTCCACTGTCTCATCTTTCTACCTCATTCCAAATTGGCTTCCAGCCACTCAGTTTGGTACAACTGTATTTGGCCTGATGACCATATCTTCTGATGTAACCTTTGAAAAACATGCTATTTGTAGGATCTAAAAATGGTGAAAAGCTCCTCTGTTGCCTAATTTGTGTCCAAAGCTCACAAATAGATAGCAACATAATAGCTTTGAGACAGGCCACAAGTTATTTTCTGCACATTTCCTGCAATCCTACTTCCACCACTCAGATGCCTCTGTGTTGTCAGTGTTGGAGAGGCAATTTGCTTTTAGTCAAATTACCTTTTGGACATTTTTCGCAAAGGCAGGGACAGATCACCTGCACTTCATATTTTTGAATGTGTGCAGCCTGTAAATGAAATATTTTTGTTTTTCTGTAGCCTATTTATTGATTTTCTTATACCAGTGAGTGCTTCCTTGTACAATTTGGCTTCTCTAATGTAGTGGATTAAGTTCTTTTTGAATGGATATTACATTTTAAGAACCAGGATTTTCACGTTATATCAATGATGTGAATTTCTCAGCTTTGCTCCTCTCTTGATTCAGCTGGTCAAGTTCCCACCCTGACACATTTCACTCAGCCTAATGAGGTTGAGCTAATATTCATGTCGACACACACTAAATCCCTGCAATGGTATACCAATGGTGCAACAAAACATATCAAACATCAGCGTAAACAGTATTCATACTCATAGGAGCCCAAACCAAGATTTTCTGCAGGAAACACAACACCTTTTTGTTTCTTAGGAACATAAAATCTGGGTGTAAATCATTTTAAAACAATCTGCTACTTAAAAAAAAAAAAAAGATATAAGTTACAGGTTTATTAAAGTATCTGGTTTCGTGCTGCACCTTTTAACATGATATCCAGACTGCCAGACAGACACGTTGATGGTTTGCCAGCCAGTCTGGTTGAGTTCAGGGTCACAGCAAGGACAGCCACAGTGCTGCTTTTTCATAAGTCTGCCTTGCCGGATCAAATCAATACCCTCATCTGTCAGATTTACAGATTTATCAGAGTGCCAAACAGGTAGGCAAGCAGACAAACAACCAGTGAAACAGACAGACAGCAGTCAAGCTGGCCAACCACCCACTCAGCCAGGCAGTCAGCCAACAAAAGGATAGATAGTCATAGTCATTTCATAACTCATAGCTCTGTGCTGGCTCTAAAGTTATATATTTGTACATACAGTATTTATAGTCTGTTTATACTGTTCCAGCTTGTGTGCAGTTTTTTTTGCTTGTGGTGTTAAAACCACTCACAGTGCCATATTCTCAAAATTTCTGTTTATTTTCTCCGCCACTGACATCCACAGCTTCTTATCAGTGCAGCCATGGTATTCCTACTTTTCTTTTCTTTTCATAACTTTAAATCTAACACATATATGCATATTTGCAGTCCTAATGGCTCAATGAAAGTACAGTACCATACAGAGAGATGGACACGTAAACCAGTTCCTGCAGTCCATTAAAGCTCAGGGCTGAGTGCCGAACGAGATGCTGTTGCCTTCAGTTGCACTTGTCTTTGATCAGGGCAAAAACCCTCGAGGCATTCCTTGTGTGTGAGTCTGCAGCTGGCAACCCACATTACACAAAGGGTCACCAAGGGTTTGAGGGTCCGTTTGTGGCTTTTTGTTGCATATTTGTTCTTTATTCATTCTCCCTACTTCTGCTCTTTCCATCTTCTTTCCTCTTCCGCACTGATATTCTCCACCAAAGGACAGGAATTTATAATTTCTTAACATCAGTTGTTTCTTGTTTGATTTGTGTAATTCCCCTTTTTTTCCTGCCAGGACCCACATTCTTGTACGTTGTATAAACTGACAACCAGCACGCTCCTCACAGAGGGGTAAATTTCCATAAACCAAAGCCTTTACCTGGTGCAAGTCCTTTAGTGGTGGTCCATGTTCCTGTCAGTGTGTGGTATTTCAAGATAAGGGGGACCGTGGTGTCTAATCTAATCTGATCGTCTCAGCTCTGCAGCGGGCTCTGCGGGAATGACTGCATCAGGGAACGATTACTGGACATCCAGGAGAAATAGTTTCCCTGAGAGCACCATCATTTGTCATTAATTATAGTTGGTGACACATTTTCTAGATTGAAGCAAATTCAGACTTGGAATTGGGGGCAGTGGGGGTAGGGTTGGGGGACGCAGCAGCTTGAGAGTTTTCTGTTGTTTTCTGGGTCAACATCCATGCACAGACCATGTGTCTCATTTCTTTCACTATTAATGATCTGGCTTGAAAGCTGAGAGGTGGCCTTTAATTTGGCTGATATTTTGCCACTTTTGATTTTAAAGTAATGGGAACCAAAACAAATTGTTTAGTTTCTGCATTTTCTTCAGTTATCTTTCAATTTGTGTGGTATGTAGAGATAAGGCAGGACGATCCCTTATCGTATCCATTTAATCTCTGCTTCACCGTCCTGGTCTCTGAGGGAATGACTGACTCAGGGAAATATTTATATTAGTCATGTAGCTGCCTTTAACACTAACCCTCACCCCTCTCTCTCTCTGTCTGTCTGTGACATGCCTCTATTATTTCCTTCCGTATTGGCTTGACATGAAAGCAATAGAATAATCCCCGTTTATGCAGTGTTTATATTAAACACTGATTAAGTTTACATGCACACAAACAATGCCATTTCATCAGCCATGATCTAATTAAAAAATAAGTATTTTCATGGTTGGTTATCTTACGTGAGTGCAGGATGAACTAATCGATTAAAAGAAACCTAAACAGGCCTGAAGCAAATGTGACCTGATTCTGACACAACCTGTGGTGGTTTTTATTCAGACATAGTGACTCAGACAGTTTAAAAAAGTAGATAAACACTGTCTCATGCCATGACAAAAGACTTAAATCTATTAATGTCTCCATGTCTGCCCCTAAGCCACAGTTGGAAACACCTCAATTTTGCTTGTTACATTTGAGAGGTTCCATTGCTTGTCTCATTTCTGCATTACAGAGGTTGGAAAAAATTTTCATTTTGGAACAGTGTATCATTTATTTTCTTACTTGGCAGCAATGTACATGACAAAGAGCCAACATACAATGAAAGAAAGAATGAAAGAAAATGAAATATAAAGTACAGTTAACTTGACTGTGGGCTGACATGAGGCATGTATGTAGGCTTCTGTGTGGGCAAACTGTCTAACCAAAACAAATTAGAGAACATTTTTGCTTCCTAGCCAGAGTTCTGTACTTTTAATAATAATAGACACAAAATAAACCCTAACCCCAACCCTTCAGTGCAATAGGTGCTCTCAAATGTTGTCTAAAATAGCATCCTAACCATGTAGTCTACAACACCGCCACCCTCAGCTATGGTTTACTGCTGTAACGAAACAATTGGCACCACTGGAATGGGTGCAATCACACAAATAATAATGATCAAATTTAAACAAACCTTATAATTATGGTTTCCATTTACGAGGACTGTAACCAAGTATGTGATATAATGTGATTTCAGTCAACAAAGAAATCAACTTTTTGTTTTATTCAAAGTAATGGCAATAGTTGCATTATTGTTCACATGTAACTGTAGCTAAGGGCTCTGTAGTCACAGCCAAACGGTAGATTAATTAGTCATGTTGCCACCATCACTGCTGCTCTGACAGTTTGGCTCATCATCAAGACCCAGCAGTGCTGCCAGTTGGTTTTTATTTTCTCCTCCCTAAAACTGCCTCACAAGAGGTATTAAAACCTTCCTCTTCTCCTCCTGCCTTCTTTCATCTAGATAAGTCATGTTTTGCTGACTCTCCCTGCCTCGCTTCCTCGTAAAGCACCTGCCAAATGCCAAAAGCCTTTTATCGGAAATTTAGAGTGAGCAATAAAAAACGCTTTTTAAATCTCTTTCTCTCACTCTTTGTTTTCTTTATCTCTCTCACTTTCTGCAGCTGTACTGGCCTGCCAGTCCAGACCGTGTCCAGGAATGTCTCATGGCTGGGAAGGATCCAGAGGTGATTCAATACACAGACACAGATACACACACAAACACATCGGATTTCATAAGCAAAGCAACACATACCACAGTAACTACTGTGTGTTACCATGAATGCTGGTAATCGGTTTTAAAGTCACACAGGGAAGGAAGTACATTTACACAGCATCCTACACAGATATGGACCAGTGGCTTACAGGTCATATCAGATGCAGTATGACAATTACTACCACACAAAAAACTAAAAATCTGTGTAACAAGCTCTGCAACAACTAAAACAAGACAGTTGCATAATAGATTACGATCTAGAGCGGAACTAAAGTTGAATGAATCTTATTCATTTAGGAACAATAAACAAACAAGAGGGCTCGGATATCAAGATTCAGCTTAGCTAGATTTATTCAGACAACAAAACGACACATGCAGGGCAAAGTGGACAGACTATGACAGGGTGCTTTCAAGTTCAGTGTAGCTACCGCGCTTCATTCCCTGTCTGCGTAAAAACAGTTTGGGCAAAGTTTCAATTCCGAATAAGAAACATGCAATTCGTGTTTTTGATTAATTCAACTTGGCTCCTCACTTTTTTTAACAATATTGTTAACTGGTGTTAGAAATACAACCAATTAAAATAAAATTACCCCTACCTTATATATCTAATAAAACAACATTATAAAATACTATTCATGCTACATTATGTCTCACATTGGGTGTCTCTCTCTCTCTCTGTATTTGTGTGTGTGTGTGTGTGTGTGTGTGTGTCTCTCTCTCTCTCCATCCAGCTGGAGTGTGCTAACTTCCTGCGAGTTCTGCAGCCTTTCAATCAGACTCACCTCTATGTTTGTGGCACTGGGGCCTTCAATCCCCGATGTGCTTTCATAGCTACCAGCGTCTTCCGTCAGGTATTACTGCAAACACACACTTCCTGTCACAGTGAGTGAGTGGAAGGGGGATCACTGTACAAAAGTAACAGCATTGTGTTTCTTCATTTTTACTTAAATATTAACACCACTTTACATTCACACATGTAGACTCACTCATACTGTCTGACATGATTTCAGTGTCTGTACACAATATTTTTATAGAAGAAGAAGCTCCACTCAGTAATATAATATATATAAATAAATAAATATATAACATGATAAATTACAAAACAAGGTTGACTTGAACATGTCTTTTTAATACTGAAGCAATGCTTTTCCTGCCACCCACCATCCCAGTCCCAACCCCTATACGCAGGCTATCAGCGGCTGAAATATCATATGTGTGGCGTCTGCCCCTATGCCCATATATCTAACAAGATTCACCCTGTGCCATGTGTCTGTAAAATATACAATGTACCTTTTGTCACTGAGGCTGCACTATAGGGGCTACAGGACACTGTAGATTTATTTATTTTTTGTTAAATTCTAAAGTTTGTCTCCTTTGTAATTCCACACTGACTAGTTGGTAGTTTCTCATAATTTAGACACATATGGGTTATCGTTTTGTCAGAAATAGGTTAATGATTCTAAATTCCCTCAGTTATGGGCGTCTGTGTGTGTGTGTGTGTGTGTGTGTGTGTGTGTGTGTGTGTGTGTGTGTGTGTGTGTGTGTGTGTGTGTGTGTGTGCGTGATTACATGTGAGGTTTAACCTTGTGCAAGTTGTGTGTGGGAGTATGGTATCTGCGTATGTGATTTTGTGTCTGTGTGGGTATGTGCATTCTTTTTGTGCAGTTTTTTTCTTTTGAGGTTGCATGCATGCCATTTATCAGTGTGTATGTATGTGCGCGCATGTGTGTGTGTTCATGCATGAGTGAACAGCTAATCCCATGAAAGGCCGTGTGAGATCAGAGAGGTTCAGACATGGTGCTTAGAGGAGCTGGTAGTGCTGACTGGTTTAAGACTGGACTTCACACATTTTAAAATCCCTCCACTTAGCACGATTACCCTCAATTAACCGCTCTCTCTGTGCGTGCGTGTGGGTGGCAGCCTAGTTCAGCTGGCTGAAAAAGTCTGAATTGACAGAATTAATGGATGACACTAATTATTTATGAATTAAAGAATGAATGAAAGAGTCACAACTTGTCAGTCTGCCCAAACAACTTGTTCTCCCTTGACTGTCTTCTTCTGTCCAGCTGATTTTCTCTGTTTCTGTCTGAGTGACATCTGTTTCTGTTTTGGTTTGTTTGCCAGTCAGAGCACCAGACTCTCTCCTACAGCCAGACAGAGTGTGGGAAGGGGAAATGTCCCTACGATCCGTTCCAAAAAACAGCCTCCGCCGTTGTTGGTAAGTTGACCGTCTGTTTCCTCAAAACACAACTCAAATAAACAAGGAATTTAAGTTATCATAGGATCAGCTACAACTTGTCTGAGAGGTTTTGGCTAGGTGTGGATGACCAGTTTTACCTGTGCAAAAACAAATGAATCAAATAAACAACTCAAAAACAATATATGTTTGTTGTTGCAGCAGTGTATGACATCCTCTGCACTACTACTTTGTTAATATTATAATTAATATTTTTTCTTACACAATGCCACCTAAGCATAGAACATATTCTGTGGATAGGAATCCTGTTCCCACAGCAAAGTTAAAATGCAAATTCATTTGTAAGATATTTTATGAATTAGATATACTCATAATGTATGTTGACTTAAAACTCATTGTAACCATGACCAAAACCTATCCTAAAATGAACCAAAACAACCAACTTGTTGTCACAAGAAATGTGGGAATTAGTTAGAGTATGTCTGCAACAAGAGTATCATGAGTTTTACTTGGAGGTCATATGAACCATTGTAAGAATATGTAGGAATAAACCTCAAATTCAGATTGACAATCTGTTCTGTTCTGTCTCACCTAAGCTCTTTTGTTATTCTGCGTAGACGGAGAGCTGTATGCTGGAATCACCTCAGACTTCATGAGCCGGGACTCTGCCTTCTTCCGCAGTCTCGGCAGCCGTCACGTCATCCGCACTGAGCAGTACGACTCCACCTGGCTGCAGGGTAAGAGCAAGAAAACATCAAAGAGAACCAAAAGAAAGTAAAACACTTACTTTTGAAAAATGGTCAGATGCCACAGCAGAAGTTTCTGCTTATGCAGAGTTTTAGTACATCTGCAGATGAAGAATTTCACTTGAGTCATTCTTCTTTCAGAACACACCAAATAAAATGGCCTTGCATACAGTTAGTATGCTACCCAGGATTTGTCTTCATTGCCTTGTCTGTAACATGTTCATGGTCACCCATCTGAACTGTGAGTCATAGCTCGTTAGAACTAAAACATGTGGCACATTGCTAACAATCAAATGATCCATTAATGATAATAATAATATCAGTAACATTTGAATTATAAATCAAAGAGCTACTCCTTCAATACGTATCAATACTGTTTCTACATCACTTTCTCAGAACCTTCTTTCTCTTTACTTCTTGCATTGTAAACTGAATATTCTGAACGTCAGTAAACTGAATGTCTTTTGCTCAAAATCAACATCTCTATAACCATCACCTGCACACCCGGTTGGTGTTTTATCAGGCCAGTGAGTCAACGTCTGCTTCTGATAACAACAAGATACATGTTGACTTTCTCTGCTGTTTGTAAACTCAGTTGTACCTCCATCGTCCCTTTACTCTATCTCTTTTCCTTGTACACTCTTACATGCATATTACGTGCCTATCAGCAGAGGTGGATTGCGTTACAGTGGATTTATAATTTACCTGTCTTACTCCGTCTGACTCTCTCTCTCTCCAGATGCCCAGTTTGTGCGGGTAGCGCCGCTGTCTGAAACTGATAACCCAGAAGATGATAAGGTCTACGTGTTCTTCACTGAGCGCGCTCAGGAGGCCGAGGGGGCTGCTGGGAAGGTGCTCTACTCCAGAGTGGCACGTGTGTGCAAGGTATGGAGCGCATTCGTTAGAGAAAGATAGAGACCAGGTTTGTGTGTGTGTGTGTGCGTGTCCTCATATCAGAAACTGTCTGCATGTAGTTTACATAAACATGTGTTTGCCTGGACAGGTAGAGTACGTACGTGCTGGTCAGTGTGTGCGCCTGCCGAGGTGTGTGTTTACGTAAATGGGTACCAACTAATCAATTAATCAAGTGAACAATCTACAATAATCGTTAGTTGCAGCACTATCATATTTTACTGCAGGATTTAATGAAAAGTTAGTATGTAAAATTATTTGTTTATTTAATAGGGCATTTTAGTTGTGACATACTGTAAAATAAAAGTCATATTACGTATCATGATCATTGAAAATATAGTTTAGTCGTAGTAAGTCTTTATACAAGAATTTATATTCTTTATTTGGCTAGTCCTTCTGGGGTTCACATACAATATTTTTAGAAATAAAAATAAACAACATCTGTTTTTGCATTCTTTGAATTTCTTTAAAGTAGGTTGTGTGTGCACAAGAGAGAACAATGAGTGATGACTGAAGGTAGACGAGATGTTTTTATTAAATGTTCTTTTATGTTGTGTGTAGAATGACATCGGAGGCCAGAGGAGTTTAGTCAACAAGTGGAGTACTTTCCAGAAGGCTCGTATGGTGTGTTCAGTCCCAGGACCAGACGGCCTGCAGACACACTTCGACCAGCTGCGTGAGTACACACAAGCATCATATGACAAACACATTACATCCACAGTAAAACTAATCACATCAGACAGGCCTCAACCACTGGAGCCAGCCACTGAATGCTTCACAAAAGAGGTAGTGAGATCAGTTACTCAGCCAGTCTGTGTCTGTTTGTGTTTATGGGTGGCATGAATGAAGAGTTGGAGCTTCTTCCTCAAATATTTCAACGCAATGAAGGAGAGTTCACAGAAACTTAGAAGTGCTCAACCACAGCTTCAGTGTGTGTATGTGTGTGTGTGTGTGTGTGTGTGTGTGTGTGTGTGTGTGTGTGTGTGTGTGTGTGTGTGTGTGTGTGTGTGTGTGTGTGTGTGTGTGTGTGTGTGTGTGTTAGTATGGCTCCACCGTTACCACGGTGATCAACAGCCCTGTCGGTCACCTTGGATTTGTCTTCGTGCCTCGGCCTTGGTAACCACGGCAACTGGCCTCAACATTTTGTTGCTGTGGATTTATTCATTATCAAGGATTCGCGCCAGTGTCCTCCGTTTGGCTGTGCGTGTGTGTCCCCTCAGGAGCAGGTTTATGTAGGCATGAGTCTTTGATGTGTATTTTGAGTGATTTGGATGTTAGCCTGTGTTCGCTCTTTGTATATGTCAGTCTGAACCCGTTTCTGCAGATGTACAAGTCTCTTTTCTGCATTCACCAGCGCTGCACTGGCAATTATTACCTTAACACAACATTATTACCTTATCAGTCGTGATGAAAACATTACTACCAGTGTTTGAAGGGCAGTCGCATGCTTTCAGTGTTATATAGGATTTGAAAGGCCCTACGCACCCACACAGGTGTCTTGAGTTGCTGAGTACTGAGTTTACCAAATGTTGCAACGTATTAATAAAAATGTTTTTTAGCTGGCTCAGATGGAGTTACCTGCTAAATTAAAGTACATAATATAACTAATAACAAATGAGACTTAACAACACAATCCCTGGCTTAGGAGGCCAGTGACTTATCCATTAGGCCACTGGGGCTCGATGGACCTGAAAATAACAGGCAGTTGTAAAGACATACAGTCAATTGCACTGCAACGTAAAAACATGGGAAGCTGCACAATGTGTTGCTTTGAATAACATGACAATGGCCCCTGATGCTACTGTGGCAGTGAAAGAAAAAACTGAAAGAGGAGGGGCAGAGAGGTGAGAGAGGTGGACACAGAGTAAAGCTTTGACATAAAGGGGAACAGCAGAAAAAGTGTGCCAATGTGTGCCCAGAAGAGCTTCTTGATTCCTTCACTCAAAGGTCAATGATGGTACAATTATTGAGGAGGAGCTTCTTGATTGAAGTTAGGCTCAGTCAAGCCAGACTCTATTGAAACCCCTTGGTGATAGAGGCCGGTGACTACTGTTGAGATGTGGAAAGTGACTTCCAACATGGGTTTAATACATGTCGTCCTGTCAATTGCCATTAAAGCACCAATAGCAGAGGATGGTTTCGATCAATCGACCTCTGGGTTATGGGCCCAGCAGTCACCCAACGATGTACGTCGAACGTAGTGAACAGAGTTAACAACCAGCTTCTTGATTCGGGTCAGACTCAAGTGAACTCACTTGGTGATAGAGGCCACGAGGATCATTACCTCTGGCTGGATTGTATTGTTGAGCCGTTGAAAGCCACGGCAAACATGGGTTTAATATATGTCGCCCTGTCACAGAGTCAGTCAGGCTCAGTGAAGGCAAGTAACCCAAGGAGAGTCGGAATGGCATGTAGTCGCTTGGGAATCATTAACTCTGATTACTTGACCCATTCAGAATGACTACAAATGTGTTTTTTAGAGAGCAAAGGAAGAGTCAGCCCTGATGGCCATTAAAACACCAATAGCAGAGGATGGCTTCAATCCATCGACCTCTGGGTTGTGGGCCCAGTACGCCTCCGCTGCGCCCCTCTGCTGTAAAGCACCCCAGATGGGACTCGAACCCACAATCCCTGGCTTAGGAGGCCAGTGCCTTATCCATTAGGCCACTGGGGCATGATGGGCCTGAAACTGACAGGCAGTTCCAAAGACACACAGTGAGTTCCACTGCAACGCAAAAACATGGGAAGCTGCACAATGTGTGGCTTTGTATAACATGACAATGGCCCCTGATGCTACTGTGGCCGTGAAAGAAAAAACTGAAAGAGGAGGGGGAGAGAGGTGGACACAGACTAAAGCTTTGATATAAAGGAGAACAGCTGAAAAAGTGTGTCCAGAAGAGCTTCTTGATTCCTTCACTTGAGCTCAAAGATTGTACAATTAATGAGGAGGAGCTTCTTGATTGAAGTTAGGCTCAGTCAAGCCAGACTCAATTGAACTCACTTGGTGATAGAGGCTGGTGACTGTACTGTTGAGATGTCGAAAGTGACTTCCAACATGGGTTTAATACATGTCGTCCTGTCAACAAGTCTTCGCTGCCATTAAAGTACCGATAGCAGAGGATGGTTTCGATCCATCGAAATCTGGGTTATGGGCCCAGCACACTTCCCTCTGCTGTCAATGACTGCATCCGGGACTCGTATGCACAGTCCCTGGTCTAGGGTCAGGTTCAGGCGTGGTTTTAACAGAGTCGCTCGTTATTACCAGCTCTGCCTCATCAGCAACCAGCTTCTTGATTCTGGTCACACTCAATTTAACCCACTTGGTGATAGAGGCCACGAGGATCATTACCTCTGGCTGGATTGTACTGTTGAGCTGTTGAAAGCCACTTCAAACATGGGTTTAATACATGTCACCCTGTCACCGAATCAGTCAGGCTCAGTGAAGGCAAGTAACCCAAGGAGAGCCAGAATGTAATGTAGTCACTTGGGAATCATTAACTCTGATTACTTGACCCATTCAGAATGACTACAAATGTTATTTAGAGAGCAGAGGAAGCGTCAGCCCTGATGGCAGAGGATGGTTTCGATCCATTGACCTCTGGGTTATGGCTTAGGATCCATTAGGCCACCGGGATTTCACAGGCCTCAACTTTACCAGTCCTGAAGACGTACAGAGTTCCACTGTAAAGCAACATAACATGATAATGGCACCTGATGCTACTGTAGCAGTGACAGAGAAACAGCAAGAGGAGGGGGAGAGAGGTGGAGACAGAATATGACAGACGGACAGACAGAATATAGTAGAGAATAAAGAACTACAGCAAAACTGTGGCATTGTGCCAAAATGTGTCCAGAAAAACAGGGAAAAACTAGAACTATGAAAGACAACCGTTTCTGAAGAAATCAAATGTGTGCTCACTTTAGCTCAAAGATTATACTTCAGTACATCACTAAAGTAAGCACACGAATGACTAGGTTGTAGATCAACTGTGTCATGGGCCCAGCAGGTTTCCGCTGCACCACTCCGCTGTCATTCAATGCATATTGGACTCGAACTCACAACACCTGGTTTAGGCGGCCAGTGAGCGAGCAAACAAACTCTAGCAGCTGGAGCACGAAAAAAATTGTCCAGATATACTAAGAGAACATGGAGCAGGTTAGAACATCTTCACTGAGAAGAACTCAAACAATCTGATGTTTGCTCGTTCATATCCCTTCCAGTTACGAAGCAGTGTCATTCATTAGGCTACTGGGGTTTCAGCAAACAGCACACACATTCGGACAGAGGACACTGAAACAGAGGGAGAACATTCTGGAGACTGCATGTTTTCTTATCTCTACTGTTTGTAAACTGAAGACTCATGGTAAATGACGTGACTGCACACACACGTGCACACCATGTGTGTGAACATATACAGTAAGTTAAAACACAGTAAATCATACACTCTCTCCTTTATATAGTCAAAACCTTTTGACTTGCAACACTAAAACACACACACATACACACACACACATACACACACACACATACACACACACACATACACACACACACATACACACACACACACACACACACACACACACACACACACACACACACACACACACACACACACACACACACCGGGCTACCTTTCGAGCTGTGCCACACATACTCGAGGCTCAGCTTGTGTACACAAGACAGTTCTGACTTGTCGGGAGCATAAACATTTCTACCCAGCATGCCTGAGGCAATTTTTTACACATCTGATAAGGGTCCATACAAATTTCTTTGTAAATACACTTCAGCGTACACACACACACACACACACACACACACACACACACACACACACACACACACACACACACACACACACACACACACACACACACACACACACACAAACCACAAACCCTTATACAGGAGATGAACCCATCAGGTTAAGAATGCTGTCAGTGTTGTGTTTATGCCATGCTTAACCACACAGAAACACTACAAATCCCATAAACCCCTGACAGTCTGCGGGTCCTTCATAGCAGCAGGACAGTGGATACCACCTGGACGTGTGTGAGTGTATGTGGGTTAAAGGTTTACAGTAATTGAATTTTGCTGACATTTTGAGGGTGCTGAGTTACAAAAAACAAGAAGGAAATCAATCAACTGAGTTCAAATTAAACCTTGAAAGGTAGCAAGGCGTGCAAGTGTGTGCATGTGTGTTCACAAAATATGGCACAAAAAGCAGCAGTGTTTGGGTTCAGCTCCTGTCTGACTGACTCATGACAAAGGATTGCTTTTATTTTATTGTTCAGTGTTGTTGTTTTTGTGCCTGGAGTTTTAGAGGCTGCTTTCACGTCCATAAGCCTCACTGTTAGCGTGTCTTGCTCTTGTTGTCAGTGTCACTTGTTGTGGAAATGTATAAGTCGAGCCTCATTGAACCACAATTATTCAAAAACCAAACAGTGGAGTGGAAGTGGTTTGTGGAGGACAGACGTTTTTTCCTGCTGCCTATTCAAGCTGAAATAACTCAGAATCCCGCTCACAGGAAAGGATTCACTGCTCTTGTCCCTGTTGTGGTGGTGGTTGTTGTTGTGGGGGAGAGTCATGTTATGAGGTTTTGGAGCTGGAGACAAACCGCCATCTGTGGCCGGACCCAGTGTCATGACACCAGAGACACTGAGGTATTTTCAGGC